AATGTAATCCAAAATTCCACTATTTAATTTTATTTGTAAAAAGTCTTGTAGAACAGTGTACATATTTTTTGCTAAACTATCAGCGTTTAAATACAAGTTAAGAGGCAGAATTTTGTGTTTTTTTTTAAACTGAATTTCAATGAGTTATTTTTATTAAACTTGGGACTTGCCTGAACATTAGCTCAATAAATAGAAACAATGTAAAGTTGCATACTGTTCTTGTGAAAAAATTAATTTTGTTTTTGATTCGACATTACTGTGTCAGCTGTGTTCCTGTGCACCTTCACGCAAGGTAAAGGCCAACAAATCGTGGTAACCAAGTAGTTATTGCGTTGCAGTTTTCTTGCTTTATTTGGTTGATAGAGTTCTTTTTTATTACACTTAATCCGAATTCTCTTCAAGACAAGTAAGAGCACCAGTCAAAGTGCAGTTAAAATAAGTACAAACAAATTCAGGGGGAATTTTTAAGGCAAAATATTAAACTGAGCACTGTGACTCATGTCACATTGGTTGGAATATACTATGTCGAATTCGTTGTAACGTGACAAAGGTACGCACACCATGCCTTTAGCCACTGAGAGTGAGGTGAGATTATGCCAATCGCACTCACGGTACTTTAAAAGTGCAACAAAACTGCACAGTAAATAACATGCCAGCTCAAAAACTTCAAGTTCTGTCCTGCCAGAAAACTGCCTGGTAGGTAGGCAACAAATTAAACGCCCCCCTCTGGTGCCAGTTCGCCCCTTCGGGAGAGGAGAGGGTCAGTCAGGAGAGGTGTGGTGGTGCTGCTGGCTGGGCGCGGCTGCGGCTACGCGCAGCAGGACAAGGTGGGGTCGGCCGGGCTATCTACCCCACCGCCTGGTTAGTAGGCAACCCATTAAGCACCTCGCTCCAGTGCCGGTTCCCGTGCGGGTTGTGGGGACGAAGGAGGGGGGGACTGGCTGGGTGCGACAGGACAGGGGGCGAGGCAGCTACTTCACTGCCTGAGTGGTAGGCAACTTATTCGACAGATCTCGCAACACCCCATGGAGTGGCTGGTGACGCGCCGTGTAGCGTATTTTCCTAACTTTAGACATTTCTCACGGGCAAAGGAGAAGGAAGGAAAGGTTACCCCTTTCAGGATTGGCGGTCAAATACATCTAAATTAACATGTTCAAATTACAGAACGGTACTGCGAATCACTTTTTCTACAGCCCCAATCAAAATTGGCCAAAGTCCATAAATTGATTCTGGGCCGTGACGCGTTTTCTCCGTAAGAGAGGGTCTCGTTTTGTCTCCTTGTCCCGTCACCAACCAGAATCTTCACGAGCCAGAATTTCAGAGGACATTGCTTCACGACCCAGAATCCTCACGACACAGAATCTTCACGAGCCAGAATTACGTAGCGCTTTGCTTCACGACCCAGAATCGTCACGAGCCAGAATTTAAGAGCACACTGCTTCACGACCCAGAATCCTCACGACACAGAATCTTCACGAGCCAGAATTACGTCGCGCTTTGCTTCACGACCCAGAATCGTCACGACACAGAATTTTCACGAGCCAGAATCGTCACGACCCAGAATCCTCACGACC